TTCCATCTTGCCAGAACTCCTTGTACACATTTTTCTTGATAAATTTAAAATTAAGTTGCAGACATCATAGGACTTCACCCCTAAATACTTTAGCATAAATATACAAAGTACAAAGAACTTATCTACTTAACTGTAATAGTACGTGATATGTTTCTTTGAGGTGCCAAATTACTAATTTAGAAATAAACTTGACTGAAGGAACTTTTCTCAGTGTCCACATGTGATGATAGCCACCTTCTCAGTATCAATATAATGAAAATGGCTTTTAATCTGCAGCCAAATGACTGTTTGCAAGGAAATTCATGAGCAACCATGGAGTGTTGGACATCTTGTTATAGTAGGGGTCTGATCTATATACAATATATGATCATGTCTATACTCTCATCCAAGACTTGTTCTGTTGCTTCTTTAACACTTAGTCAATTTTCCTTCTGCTCTGCATCATCTAAATGTAGTCCTCCTTATACATTGCTCTCCTTCATTTCTGCACAAATCCTAACCTAAGCCTATAACAATAAGGTGAAAATTATTACTTCTTAATCTATCACATTAACATAATCCATTAGTGAAACACTATCTCAGGAGTCCCTGGGTGGTGCAAACTGTTAATGTGCTCAACTGCTAACTGAAAGGTTGTAGGTTTGAGTCCAGTCAGAGGCACCTTGGAGGAAATATCTGGCCATTTACTTCTGAAAAATCAGCCATTGAAAACCCTATTGAGCACAGTTCTACTCTGACCCACATGAGGTTGTCATAAGGTGAAACTCACTTGACAACAACTTATATCTCCCAGAAGACTGGGAAAGCAACTCCATTCATTCTTCTGATTTTCCTTAAGATCTTAGTTCATCTATTTATTTGTGAAATCATGTTGATTTTTATCAAATCTTGCTGCTAATATTTAAGCAGAAATACTAAACATCTCTCTTATTCTTAATTTCAATTTCATTGCTATCTAGGCCTTCACCTATTTGTGCTATTTGTAATTGCTATATACAGTTATCATCTAGCATTTATTTTATCTTACTAGACAAGGTATAAAGAAATTGAGAAGCTGAGTTCTTGAGAGATCAATCAGAAGAATATTATGGATGTTATTCTTAAAAATTTAGTACAACATTTTTCAACCTAGGTCACTAATAGGGAAGTGGCTGGGCAGAAGTTAAACTTCATTTGTTCTTGGGGAAAGAACTGGCCTCCTATCAGGAAAGAAGTAACATCTGTGCATTTCCCAGCCTTTGATGGGAAGAGTCTTCTCCCCATAGGAGAAATGTTCTTGAACTCATGCCAAATTCTTCCCCATGACCTCTGTACCACCTGCACATTCCCGGTATTGATTTCATTACCCTCTTTCAGATCCCCTTTATAAAAGCCTAGGCATTCCAACCCTGAAGAACCATCCCAGAAGCCAGCAAGACAGGTAAGGGATGGCTATGATAAAATCATACCCATGTCAGAGATTTTGCCTTAAACAGTATGGGAAAAGGCATGGAAGACCCTGTCCTCTTAGAACATAGCAGGTTGAATTTGGGAAAGAGATATTGTGGGGACATTAGGATTTCAGCCTCCCTGATTCTCTCCAAAACTTTTTAAAGGGATAGATGTTACTAAGGGCAATTTATTTAGGGGTTCAAAGGAAGAGCCAGGATGTAGGATGAGGTGGAGGTATTTCTGCATGTGCTCTCTCTGATCAACTTTTGTTCAGTGATCTTTAATTGTCTCCTCTACACACAGACACGATGTCTCCCGTGGCCCTTCGCAATGTGTCTTGGATTTTGCTGTCCTGTCTGATGCTCCTGTCCCAGGTCCAAGGTGATATTTTTCTGCCTTTAGTTTCCTTGTGAAAGTTTAGAGTCAAGAACAGGAGAAAGCCAGTAGTGTAATACATGTGGTAATGGTGAGGTGCATTACCACATAATGAAATGGTCTGAAATTTTCCTATCATTAGTAATTTCTCTAGGTTAACTAGTTGTGGAAGGCATCAAAATGGTTCACTCACAAAGGAATTATATACTTCCCAATTTCACTGGGGACTGTAATAAGTGTTGGAAGATTGAAGAAACAAAGTATGAAGAGTCAATGATGAGTTATAGAGAAGCGCTAGTGTAGGGTCAGTCATTCAGGAAGAGACAGACATTGAAGGAGAGAATATAAAAAGAAGGGATATGGTCCACCATTTACAGGGGCTTTAAGAACAAGAAATCCTGAAAGAGTTGGAAAAAGTGAGAGGCGATCAGTAGTTTGACATCACTCCATAAGCACTTCACAGACATTCCTCTAATGTTGCCTCCCCATTGTACCCTTACCAACCACCACACTTCATTTCACCTTCTTTCTTTCTTTTTTTTTTTTTTGGATCATTATAAAACATTTT